AGGGTTCAAAATATGCTCCAGATGGTAAAAACACAAATCAGACATAAATCAATTTATAAAAATAGGAAGAGATTTGTTTTTATTGCCATAATTTTACTTTAAAATATTCATAAGCTTCCTTCTGGTTTCTAAATTAGTTCAGAATGCTTTGAGGTAATATCCCTCTGAATTTGGAGAAATTTAGAGCTAGTGATTTGTTTTTATAAAAAAAAGGTCATGTCAAATTCTAAAATAATTCACATCAGAAATACACTTTTATGGAGCTAAAGTTCTCAAGAACAAATACTTCCATCACAATGAAGCAGCGTTCAGCATACGTTAGCAAAAGGAACACATTCACACAAAACCCTAAATGAAATATGCCTGCAGTGGAGATGAAGCCTAGATAAAATGAGGGAAGAACTGAGCCAGACCAGAAAGACTGAGAAAAGATACAAGAGGAATGTGACCCTGAATTTTTAAACAGTGATAAGAGTTTGATCTGACTATTATACCATTTAGTTACAGTTCATTTTTTTTTCAGATTAAATTATACTATCTTCAAGATCAAACACTATTTTGGCAGGTGTCTGGCTTACAGTTTTGAATATAATTTAAAGTTTCTACAGTACTGATGAAGAAATCTAAGCGCAGACTGGAACCACGCGTCTGTCCATACCTCTCAAGATCAACACCCCATTTCTACCGCTGATCCCATTTTATCATCTATTCCATGTAACAGCCAGCAATTCTGAGCTGAAGCTGCTATTTCCAATAAACATTTGCACAAAAATGAACTTTAACAGAACTAGCAATATGTTTCTGAGGAGCACATCCATATATGCAGAGTGTAACAAGGGAACCTCCACGTTAAAATAGTATAACCACTCTTTCTTCTCTTTAAGCAACATGACTGAGGAATTACACCACAGTAAACCAGCCGAATTTTTACTTTAGCTCTATCAGCAATGTTTCTACTAAAGGCAAGCATATATTAGTGGTAAAGAAACATTTGTTCCAGTAAAAACCCGTATGTATTTGGTCACTAATCCATTCACAAAGTTACCCAAAGAACACAGAAATTCAAAGAAATACACATTCAAAACAAAAGCAAAGCATGAAAAAAAAAAAGCATGAAACAGTCAAGCTGCTAAATCTCAGAACAACTCAGAAAAATCCTAGCCAAATTCTGCTTTCAGCTCCATAGACATTAACCAGCAGTAATTTCACCTACTGGATTTATTCGTATTTATCACTGCAAAATTTTGCCTAGTTGGGCCAGTAACATGCCTTTTATTAGAAACCTTGCATGGGGGATGAACAACAAAAAACACCCAAACAAAAAACCAAAATGAAGACAGTAAGATATAACCACCAGACAAAAAAAAAAAAGAAAACTGGCTATTTGAGAAAAATGACTAAACCAGATGCAAATTATTCACACAAGTAAGGATATGCACAATCAGGCCCATACTAATTGAGCACAATAAACATATTGTCACTCATTAAAGATCTATCTGCCTGAATTTATCTTTGCTTTCTCTTCAGTTCTTATGAGTTATTCAATCACTTCCCATCACACAGGAAAAGAAATATTGCACTATGAAGATGGAGCTATAATTAGATATTTCTGAATTTCATTTCCCATATATGACTGAATGGGAATGGATGGGGAAAATATGAACAGTGATAATAACAGTATGGTGAAACATTCAGTAAGAAAAACACTGAGTATAGAATAACGTCTTAATTCTTCCTGAGTACATAATGCTGTGTTTACTGGAAGGTCAGTTAAGTTACTATAAGAGATTTTTAATGAAAACAATTATAAATTTAAAATAACTGTGTTTAAAGCATTTAACAGTCACTAAGGTCAAGTGATTACAGCAGTTACAAGACCCAAGGGATGTGTTCACACCAAAACAAAGTGAATAAATTACCTCAGCCAGTGTTTGTAATCACTAAGTGACCACAGAGGTTATTCCGTGTGTAAGCCCAGACGACTTTCATGCAAAACCAATAATGAAAATTTATCAGCCAATGGGATAAAGGCATAAGAACTAGTAAAAGTGGCAGGAAGAGCTGAGGAAAGAGGGCATGAAAAGCATGTTCTGTGATTCAGCTGCAGAGACAAGGATGAAGGATGAATGTTAATGAAATGGATGGACAAGATGCTGAACATTTTGCTCAGGTGAGATACCCAAAGAGTTGCAAAAGGATGCAAGATCCAGAAAAGACAAAACTGCAGGGCTGAGAGGAGTGCTCTCAGTCCTGTATAACTCTGGCATATGAAGCACCCAGTGAAGTACAAGCAAGGCAGGGACTCAGAATAATCATCTTTTTACTTTTCCTTTGGCTTTACTGACAAGAAAATTATGGACAGTTATTGTGTCTTAGTTATTATATTATCCTAGTGGAGAAGAGGCCCTGTTTTTATACCACAGAGTAGGTAAAATAAGCTGCAGAATGAAGCCTAGCTTTGATCTCACTTCTCTCCCTCAAGGTATAAACGAGACAGATGCCTTGTCTTCATTACTGCTTTACAACACCATTGCCCATGGTAAAAATCATGCACACAAAAGATATGAAAACCCCTTTCGATAAGGAGGACATTATATTTGATGGGAGTTCTCAGTTGCTTCAGAATAAGGTTCCTACCAACTACGAGGAAAAAAGATGCCTCGCACAATAAAGCAGAACAAAAAGGAATACGGCTTGTTCCTGTCTGCCACGGGTATTTTTTTTAAGTACTACATGTCACCACCTCACAACCTTGAAGGTATTAATCATAGTAAACAGTAAAATGCGATTGCAGGTAGGAGCCTAAAACAAACTGGCAAAAGGGCATAACTGACTACATAGTGTTTTGATTCCAGATGAGGAGAGGACAGCACTGGAGCAAGTGTTCACCAACGCAACATGATTCCACAGCAGAATCCATTTGCCGAATGCAAATTTGCAAAGAATGTAAAATCTACTTTCTCACATAAATACCATATTGACTTCTATAAGAACTATATATGTGCTAAGAAAGCCTTATTGAGGTTGGAACAAAACCTACTCAAACAGTTGTAATTCTTCTGTTGCAAATGTTAAACTGAGGATCCACACGATAATTTAAGATCATTGTGAAACACCTGTTAAATACAAGGAATGACATGTGGCAGCCAATACCCTAATATTCCCCATGAAAGGGTGAAAACAGATTAGCAGCTTACTTGTTTTGCCTTTCTGAGGTACTGTTGTGCTTTAACTTGGGCAAAACTGGGAAAAGTACCAAGCTGGGAGTTTTTAAATGCAGAGCACTGGGCATGGACTCTGGCTGTACCAAAACAAATGCTTGTGAAATGACTCAAAGTCCAAAGAGGAATTTGGTAGCCAGACACTGCTGGTAGATTTTGGAGGTTTGCGCTCTCCAGAAAACAATTCCTCTCCCGAGGCTGCCTGGCACCTCTAACAACTGAACCTCATCAAACAGCAGCGCTGCCCAGCTTCTCTAAGAGGACTGAAGCTTGGTAGGACCAAAGCAGCCACTCCCAGGGAAGCTGTGCAGCCTCCCACCACCCCTTAACTTGCTTGTCCCTCCTCCTTCGTAACACTAACAATTACAAATTATCACAAAGAACACTCAGAAGATGAGAAAGATGATTCATGCTGTGT